CCCCCGGTGCGGCCAACCCTTCCCTACCAGGACCGTCAAAGAAAAGTGTGGACCAATCAATTGTTACCAGCAAGCCTAGTAGAAATTCTAGTTCACTTGGAAACAATTGTGATGTCAAAAATCCAATGTCAGTTACCCTTTTAGATGCCAACAGAACTACAGAATCTGGTCGAGATGTTCACACTTGCAAACCCATAGTTGAAGAGCCAAACTCACCACAACAAGAAGAGGACATTGAAGATTTTTCATGGGATGGATGTATTGAAGATGAAGAGATCCCGACTATCAAACTCAATCGTGAAGAGTTCAACCCAGATGGGAAAAAGTCTCCATACAGCAATTCTATGTCGCAAGCTTTAGTTTCTGTGGGGACTTCTCCATTGTCAGCTCCTAAAATGAAGCGTGTGACCTCTTTGCGGACTGAACATCAAGTGTAAGTAGAAATTTCTTATTCATGTCCATAAATTAGTATAATCTCTCTATGAACACGAGTATATATAGGAACAGTTTGTTTAGATTTCATCTTACATGTTAATTGATTGTTTACTCTAACGTAGGTATGAACTTCCAGATAATCATGAGATTTTGGTTGGGGTGAGTTAGAGTTCCCTGAAACTTTGCGATGTAATAAATTAATGTACCTGCTTGCTTTAACTCGATTTCTGACTGTACTCTAAATCATACAGCTAGACAAACGAGAAAGGGATGATTCACTACCTTACCTTCTCGCTATATGGCAACCAGGTACACTTTTATGATATAATACTGGAAGAAAGGCTGGTTTTTCCAAGTTGTCCAACAATAGCATCACATGCAATATTGCAAAACATTCAGAATATTGTTAAAAGTTGAAGTAAATGATGGATTTACTTGGTAATTTTCTAGTTCTCTTGATTCATTCTTGCTAAATGAGAATATTTAATTAAACCTGAGGCAATGCTTCATGCCAGGTGAAACTCCGAATTCAAGCCAGCAACCTGAGAAATTATGCAGCTCGCAAGGATCACAACTCTGTGGTCAGAAAACATGTTTTGCTTGTGAAGGTATTCGAGAACAACAAGCTGGTATAGTTCGTGGAACAATTTTGGTAAGCGAAAACTGTGTTTGTTCACGTTGTTATTGTCAGAATAATCAAGTCGATTGTGTAATGAACTAATGCAAAAGAACACATGCGCAGATACCATGCAGGACAGCTCTGAAGGGAAGCTTTCCACTCAATGGCACATATTTTCAAGTTAACGAGGTGAGTGCATTCAAAGGGACAAAAAAGAGGAAAGAGAGAGTTCCAGTTGTAGGTATTTGAAGCCATAAGCTAGCGTTTAGCATCAAGTTATTACTCTGAAAAAAAAGTATATTTACCACCACGCAGGTATTTGCTGATCACAAATCTAGTTATGACCCCATTATTGTTCCCAGAGAATTGTTATGGAACCTCGTAAAGAGGACTTTATATGTTGGGTCATCAACAAAATCAATATTTAGAGGTAAATAACTCTCCTTTCACTACAAAATGAGAAATAAAATACATAGATCACACAACTGACAGACAACATTTGGTCCTACAACAGATTTGTCATTAAAGGAGATTCACCAAAACTTTTGGACAGGTATGGATTCATATCCCAAATCATTGATAAATTAAACTAGGCACTACGTACTGTCCCAGAAAAAAATATTGCTAGAATTATGTTTTTTCTTAAAAAGAAATATATTCTCAGGTTTTACTTGTGTGAAAGCATTCGAGCGAGGAACAGGTGCTCCAAAACCTCTTGCAAGGAGATTCCACTGTTCAGCAAGCAAGATGGAGAAGGAAGGAAGGAGAAAATCAGGTGCTGTACATGATGCTAAAGCCATCACGCTAAAGAATGCCATATAGTTTGAACCAATATTTGCATTCGTTCTCTTATTCTAATTGTTGAACATGATCCGTTTGTTTTTCAAAAATATTAGTTTGTCGCACCAAGAGCATGCATGTCTAAAAATAAACCAGAAAACATACAGCTTTAGATTGTATGCATGCAAGGACTAAAAACATAGAAAGATACCGGCATTAATTACTTGTAATCTAAAGCTGCATTAATTACTTGTAATCTAAAGCTTGTGGGGGTGAGTATGGTATATTTATATTCTTCATCTTCTCATGTTTTATTGTGCTCGGCTAAATGCATTATTCATAGTTTTTTTTTTTTGAATTTGTTATAAATTTAATGGGATAAATATGTGAAATGAACATTGTGAATTAAATTTTGTGCAGCCGTATTAATTAACCCTTCATGTTTTACCATTAACAACATTATTTTTTTTTTAAGTTTGTTATAAATTTAAAATAAAAGAATATTAAACTCAGTTAATTTCATGATAGAAGTTAATCCTCAATAAATTAAAACGTGTGGTTTGAATATCAAACAAAAATATATTTACAGTAAACAATATTATCCATTGTTTTTTTTTTTTAAGATGTTGCTAGGAAAATATATGAGGCGAATATTTTGCCGCACTCCCCCTCATGTTTTACCATACAATTTGGATAATTCATTTCATTAAAACACGAGTTCTCTATCTTTCGTCGCTTTTCAGCAGAGAACCATGCTACCCTGCAGGGAAAAAATCATTACACAGCCGGATGACCATCTTATTCAAGCCTCCAAACTTTTATGAATTCCAGTTGGGTTTGGAGGCCGACTTAACAAGTTATTTGTAATCCAAAGAATCTGCAGCAACTAGATGGTGCCTAGTTACATCCAATTAGAAGGGTCTAAGAATGGATTTTTTACTAACCTTTTGGATTATGATTGCTATAAAACATCAGGTCTGAACCAGAATTCCCTTACACTGCAACAATTTATGCCGAAGCATTCACATTCAGCTACTATGGATCAAAACTGTTGCAAGAAAAAGCTTCAGCTTTGTAAGGCCAACCAAGGGCATTGGTTCCCAGATTCCCTAAGCACTTGAAAACATGAGTTAGATATCAACCAATTCCAACCCACTTCCTGAATGCCTTGACACACTTAAGGCTCTTTCTTTGAGCCTCAGTGCTTGCCTCCGGTGCTTTTAAACTCCAACATAGATTCTTATGAAGCTTCAAGAAGTCATCTTAATACATCCGCTTGTCACGATACATATTACACTCTTTTATTTAACCCAATGGAACTGATTCCTATTACACTCTTTCATATAACCACTGACCTCCATTGCTCTCTCAAAATAAGCTCCTCGGATAAAATCCAGTGGAAAAACCTCACAGAGATCCCTACTTTCCTCTAAGTCCTTGCTACCAGTGTTGCTCTTGATGCCCCGGAAGGAATAGCCTTCTCTTCCTCTCTCATTTCTCGAACTAAAAAGTTGATCAGATCTGATTTACCAGAGGAAGATGATGCATTATTTGCTGCTTCTGAAGGACTAAGCAGTGGCAACAATCTCATCGGACAAATTTATAAGAAAACCAGCCTTCCTCATTTATCATAGCAGTGCCTTGGCTTCTTTGAGCATCTCTCTGCTGTAATATGCAGTTAAGAATAACATATCTGTTGGGAAAACTAGGAACAACTGGATACTAATTTACTCGGATTAATTTAGTGAAATACAATTCACAAGTCCCAATTCTTTCCCTTTTTGTGCAATAAAACAGAATCAAACAATGATCAAATATAATGCAAATAATTATAAAATCAACACCAAGATTTTAACGTGGAAAACCCGATACAAGAAAAACCACAGGACCGTAGTCCACCTAAAAACTTCCACTATCAACAAATAATGGGTTCACAATCATTTTTTCTCATATTCAACTAAGGGATACAATATATATATTATCAAGAACAACTTATTCTCGGATTACAACAAGATTAAAGGAGAATTATTTAAGAAAAACTCACAATACTGACAGCCTTATTTACTGTCAAAACGGTCAGCTTCCACAACACCAATTTTCGATCCAACTGTCTAGAATGAAGAGTAACATGTCTAGAAGCTACTGTCAAAATCTCAGTCTGAGCCAACGGTGAACAAGTTGGAAATCAAAAATCTCTTTCTCTTTAAAAAACCTTGTTTTGTGCACTCTCCTTTGCAAATGTTTCTTCCAACATTTTCCAAACTGTATAACAATCATGTTCTTGAGAAATATGATTAATGAACTTAGAAGATACCCATTTTCTAACATTAGCAGTAGCCTTTCTATTTGGCCCATTCCATTTTGCATCATCCATATCATCAGGTTTTATCCCTTTACATTCAATCGACAATGCCAAATCGTTGCAATATAAGTGATCCTCCATCATTGTTTTTCATAGAAAATAATTTGAGGAAGCAAGCTTTATCATGCCCGAATCTTCCTTTTCCATTTTAACTGCACAACAAATTCAATCTATAGAACCAGTGCTCTGATACCACTTTGTTGGGAAAACTAGGAACAACCGGACACCAATTTACCCGGATCAATTCAACGGAATACAATCCACAATTTACAAGTCCCAATTCTTTCCCTCTTTGTGCAATAAAACAGAATCAAACAATGATCAAATCTAGTGCAAATAATCATAAAATCAACACCAAGATTTTAATGTGGAAAACCCGATGCGGAAAAAACAACGGGACCATAGTCCACCTAAAAACTTCCACTATCAACAAATAATGGTTCACAATTATTCTTCCTTAGATTCAACTAAAGGATACAACATATATATCATCAAGAACAACTTATTCTCGGATTACAACAAGATTAAAAGAGAATTGTTTGAAAAAAACTCACAAAACTGACAGCCCCGTTTTCTGTCAAAACAGCTAGCTTTAACAACACCAATTTTCGATCTAACCGTCCAGAATGAATATCAATGTGTCTAAAAGTTGCTGTCAAAATCTCAGCCCGATCCAACGATGAACGAGCTGGAAATTAAAGAAAGAACATAGACTGTTCTGCTGCCTTTTCTTTTCTTTTTCTCTCTTGATTTTCTTCTCCTTTCTTCTATTTTCAAATCTATCGTTATAGTATCCGAACCACTTAATTTTAAACATCAAAAAATAATTATCACATAAAAATTAATATAATGATCCCACCATCATATAATGTAGGACCACACACAACATGGTCGAGGATGAAAAGCAATGCAGAGAGGAGTGTCTCAATAAGTGCCAATGCCGAGCTCATTCCGTTGTGAAGGGGGAAGTCAATATGTGAAGGGACGGACCGCCTAGCGACAACATTTGCTTGATCCGGATGGATGATCTTAAAGATCTTCAGGAGGAATATTCTTATGGTGGGCCCGATCTCTTTGTTCGTGTCACCAATGCTGACACAGGTACTTCCTTCTTTCGACTCGTTCTTTCTCCTTTTGTTACTACAAGATGCTAGAACTACGTCAAGGATAATTTTCTCTGATAGAAGATTGCAAACAAGCAGTGGACTTAATTCATAACTGAACTAAATATCAGTACGGTTTCATACCTTAAAAAAAGCTCCATTTTTTTTGCAGAATCAAAGGTTAAAAGCTGTGAGCCTTGTGGCATAAATGTGATTCCTTATCCTCTAAGTACTGGATCAGATTGTGGTGAACCCATGTACTTCAGATTCTACTGCGATAATTCCACAGGAAAACTCAGCTTTAAGACACACAGCGGCACCTATAATGTCACTACCATCAATCAAGATAGAAGAACATTTGCTATCCAAGAGAAAGATGTAGCTGATTGTAATGCCAGTACAAGAGGTTAAATTCGGAAGTTCAACACGTCATCTCCATTTAAGTTGAACGCCTCTAAACGCTGGTGTGCCTCCAATGTTTCATCTCAAGGTCTGGTAGAAATAGATATTGGTTGGGAGCCACCTCCAGAGCCAGTCTGCTCTTCATCTTCAGACTGCGACGATTGACCAAATTCAACTTGCAATGTAACAGGAAGTGGTACAGCGAGATGCCTCTGCAATTCAAATTTTTGGCGGGATGGCATGGCTCTAAATTGCGTTCAAGGTGAACACTCTATATCTTGCTTCAAATTGCAAAAGTAGTGAAAACCATAAATTTCATCCTGTTTAATTTATTATAATGTGCATACCCCCTTTTGTTTCTTGAAGTTGTCGATGGACAAGCAGGAGGATATTCGAGAAAAAAGAAACCATTGTCTTTGATTGTAGGAGTTACAATTGCTAGTGTCATAGTTCTATCAAGCATCTTCCTTTACATCTGCATTTTGATGAGAAAGAAGGCCAAACGACGAGGTAACTGGACAAATTTTCCACGTGTAGGTATTAAAGTTTTTAAGGGATTCGTCATGTAATTAGCAGTTGTCTTGTTGAAATTTCAGAAAGCCAGCAAATTACTGAAAGAAATGCAGCTCTTTTGTATGGCACTGAGAAACGGGTCAAGAACTTGATAGAAGCAGAAGAGTTCAAGGAAGAAGATAAGAAGGGCATAGATGTACCTTTCTTTGATTTAGACAGCATACTAGGGGCTACGGATTATTTTTCAGAAGCAAACAAGCTTGGAAGAGGGGGCTTCGGACCTGTTTACAAAGTAAAATTTACGTTAATCATTGGAATTTTTGTGTCTGACAAGTTTTCTGGCTGAATTTTACCTGCATGGCAACTTTGGTTTCAGGGAAAATTTCCAGGAGGTCAAGAAATTGCAATAAAACGACTCTCTAGTGTTTCAGGACAAGGCCTAGAGGAGTTTAAGAATGAGGTGATTTTGATTGCTAGATTGCAGCATCGCAATCTTGTCAGACTAGTAGGTTACTGCATAAAAGGAGATGACAAGATTTTACTCTATGAATATATGCCCAACAAAAGCTTAGATTCCTTCATATTTGGTTAGTCTCTAAACAGATTCATCATTTTTGTTTTATAAATGTACGTTTGCAGCACTCATGCTTGCTAATTTTTGTTCTTATGGAAATGGAAAACCGCTGAAGATCGAGATCTCGGAATGTTACTGAATTGGGAGATGCGCTTTGATATCATTTTAGGAGTTGCTAGAGGTCTTCTTTATCTCCACCAAGATTCTAGACTCAGGATTATTCATCGTGATATGAAAACGAGCAACATTTTATTAGATGCGGAAATGAATCCCAAAATTTCTTACTTTGGATTGGCAAGAATGTTCGAAGGCAAGCAAACCGAAGGGAGCACCAACAGAGTTGCTGGAACTTAGTAAGTATCAGATCCTATCAACATTGATATTAATCAGACATACATTCATATGCAAACATTCATTTTTTGCAGCCTCCAATCCTACAATCATGTCTTGGTTAACGCTGAATTAGGTGTCTGAATCCAGCTGAGTTACTGATTCTTGTGAAAATTGTTGTAATGCAGTGGCTACATGTCGCCAGAATAATTGAGTATCTATAATTTTCATTTCAATCGAGTATAAGTAACCTCAATTGAAAAGAAAAAAAAAACCTTTTACTCGATAGGAAGGATGAGATGAATGATGATATTTCAAGAATGACAAAAAAAAGTTGATGATAATGACTAAGGTTGTGAAGAAGAATTCTCAATTGATGGAGAGAAATCTTTAATTTCGGAAAATTTTACTCATTTGACTGAAATTGAAAAAACATATGCTCAATTGACAAAATTAATAATGGAGGGACTCTTTTGACAAGTTGGTGAAAATATAGGATGGAAATAGCGGGTTTTGTCAAAATGAAGGATATACTTACAGAACGAGTGGACATGAAAGCATGAATGCATAAAGTTGAAAAATGCCCTGAAGGGGCCCTTGTTGCCAAAGAAAAAATTTGCGTGGGAAAGCATAGTCATGACTTGTAAAAGAAAAGAAGACGTTCGCAATCATCTAGGTGGTGATTAAGTAGTAAAGACTTGAAATTAAAAAGTTTGTTTTCTCTATGGTCTCAGATTCGAGTCCTTGGTTGCTCATATGATGACCACTAGAGGCTTACATGGTCGTTAACTTCAGGGCCCGTGGGATTAGTCATGGTGCGCGCAAGCTGGCCCGGACATCCACGTTAATTTAAAAAAAAATATTTAATTATTTATAGGTAGTTGATAAAAAAATTTATTTTGAATAAAATGTTTTACAAGATAAAATATTTTTTATATTTTTTAAATAGTAATTTATACAAAAAATCATTTAACAATCCTAACCATCAAAATCTTATCATCATCACTACATGCAAAATCATTATCCCTGTTACCACCCCCACCACTGTAACTCCATCACCATCAATCATAGTTATTGGAATCGATCTGGAAATTGACCTGTCGGTTCTAAATTATATGGTTTAATTTAAATTAAATTAACTCAAATTAATTTTAAAAAAATTAAAAAAATATATTTAAAATTTTAATATTTTATATGAAAAATTGAAAAATAATTTATATAAATATATGCTATACATATTATAAATAATAAAATTTTAAAAATTATTTTTAAATTTTTTTATATTGAAAAGATATTATATTATTATGTTATATTTTAAAGTTGAAATATTTAAATAAATTTTTTTATTACATATTAAAAAAACATAATTCTTATAAACATAGAGTATATATATTAAAAAACTTTAAATCTCATATTGAAAAAATAATAAAACAACTTCCTATTATAAGTAAAATCGCATTCACAGCATAGCTATTAAACTTGAACCGGTTGATTTATTGACTAGACTAATTTGGATAATATAAAAGACTGACTAGTGTAAAAACCCAGCGGGTTGAACTAGGTAAACTCGGATGAGACTTTTTTCTTCAAAAGTGATTTTTCTTCTAGATCCCTCTTTTTATATTTTTTTAGTTGGCTATTACTCATTTTCAAAGTTTACTATATAAATACTAGAAGAATATTTTATTTTTTTAATATGTAATTTGAAATATTTTAGTACATATACTCTATGTTCCTAAAAAAAATTATTTTTTCAATATAGGATTTGAAGCTCTTTAGTATATATACTATATGTTCATAAGAAAAAAAATTACTTTTTCATTGTGAGATTTGAACCTCTTAGTATATATACTTTATGTTTACAAGAAAAAAAGTTATATTTTTTTAACGTGGGATAATTTTTTTTATTTAAATACTTCAACTTAAAAAAATAACATAGTATCTTTTCAATGTGAGATTTGAAATATTTTAAACCCTTTAGTATATACACTCCATGTTCATAAGAAAAAAATTACTTTTTCAATGTGAGATTTGAAATCTTTTAATATATACTAGTTGGGTGCTCGCATTATGCGGCGGACTCACTTTTTATTTTCATAAAAAATACTATAAAAAATTATAATATAAAAATAATATTTTTAAATATTAATAATAATATTTTTTTCAAATTTATTAATTATTTTATTAATAATATTAATTATAATAAAACTAATAATATTAATAATGCAAATAATACTATTTTTATTATTATATTATTAATTATAATAAAAATAATAACATTTATAACACAAATAATTATATTAAGAATTCCAAAAATATTTATAACACAAATAATAATATTTTTTTATATCAATACTTTGAGTTATAATAAAAATAAAAATATTAATAACATAAATAATAATATTTTTTATATGAACACTTTAAATTATAAGAGAAATAATAATATTTATAATAAAAATTATTATATTAAAAAAACTAAAGAATATTTATAACGCAAATTATTTGAGTTTCGACGAGGACCCACACAAATTGGGTCTTGAGGCAGGACCCATTACCATTGGGCCATGGTATAAGACTTATTTGAAGGGTAAAAATATAAATTATTGTTCTTATTATTATTAATCATTAATAAATTTGAAATAAAATATTATTACCACCAAATAAAACCTTTATAGTTGATTTAAAGGATAAAATTAAAAATATTATTATTATTATTATTTGTGCTATAAATATTATTATTTTTATTATAATTGAAGGTATTAATATTAAAAATAATATTATTTATGTTTTAAATATTTTAAAAAACAAATAATAATATTAACTTTTTTTTCTAATAATAACAAAGTCTTAGCACCTTGTTTATTCTTTTTAAAAAGACAAAAAAAAAAAACCCTAACCAAATGGTTAAAAACTAATGTTAAAAAACAACATATTCTGAGATTGAAACATGTAATAAATTTTATTAATTCTAAAATAAAATTTATCATTTTTACTGCATGATGCAAGGTTTAACATAGCTAGAAGACATAATACATAGAATAGTAATGTATGCTGTTGTAGTACACCAACATACCAAACAACAAAAACACTAATATAAAAGCTTCATGATTCAACAGATGAAAATAAGCAAGAGCTTTTAAATTTTTTTCAATACAAAAATAAGCAATAAGAAGCTATATACATGTTGGCTCAAGCCTTGCAATCCTTTACAACAAAAAACATGCATGTTCATGTCATTGTTTTTATAAATTGTAAACGCTGTCATTGTTATATTGGTGAAACAAAACCAAAGGGGTTGGGTCCGTTCCCGGACCTAGAGGGTTGGGGTTTAGGTCTTTTGGTGTTCGAACCCAAGCGGTTTGGTTCCTCCCGTGTTTGGATCCAAGGAGGGTTGGGGTTGGATCCGTGCCCAAAACCAAAAGGGTTGGGGGTTGGGTGGGGTGGGAACCCAAGTAGATTGGGTCATTGTCTGGACCCAAAGGGGTTGGGGTTTGGGTCTGTGGTCAAACCCAAGGGGTTAGGGTTGGGGTTCGGGTCCTTCGGTGTCCAAACCTAAGGGGTTTGGGTTCTTTCATGTCCAAACCCAAGAGGGTTGGGGGTTGGGCGGGGTGGGGACCCAAGGGGGTTGCGAGATGGGTTTGTGACCAAACCTAAATGGCTTGGGGTTTGGGTACGTGGTAAGAACCAAGGGGGTTGGGGATCGGGTCGTGTCCGGACCTAGTGGGTTGGGTTCGTGTTTGGAACCCGGGGTTGGAGTTTGGGTCCTTTGGTGTCCAAACCCAAGGGATTTAGGTCTTTCGGTGTTTGGACCTAAAGAGAGTTGGGGGTTAGGCGGGGTAAGGATCTAAAACGGTTGGGGGATGGGTCTGTGCTTGAACCCAAGAGGGTTGAGGGTTGGGCTAGGTGGGGATCCAAGGGGGTTGGGAGATGGGTCCGTTTCCGAACCCAATAAGTTAGGGTTTGGGTCATACGATGTCTGGATCCAATGAGTTTAGGGTTTGGGTCCTTTCGTATTAGGACCTTAGGGGGTTGGTCCGTGGCCGGACCCATAGGGGCTGAGCTCGTGTCTGGATACAAGCAATTTATGTCAGGATGCCTAACCCAACAGAAGGGGGTCCATGTTCAGACCTAGCACGCAGGTCAGCAGACCCGTTGGCCTAGGTGGGCGGCAAGCTTGCAGGTTTGACCCCAACACTTGGGCATGATAGCCCAAGTGCCAGGTATTTACAACTTGGGGCACAACCTCCTCCCTGCAGCCTTGGAATTCTACGTGGCTGAGCATGATTGCCTTTGCGCCAAGTGTTTGTGCCTAGTGCTGCAGCACACCATACCCCCTTCCCAAATGTGCAATTCACAGTGTAATGAGTCTTAATGAAGAAGATTTTTCTCACATGATTTAACTTTATATATAATATAATATAATAATAATAACCATAAAATAAAAACCATATAGTTGATTTGAAGGATAAAATTATTATTATTATTATTATTATTTGTGCCATAAATATTATTATTTTTATTATAATTGAAGGTATTAATATTAAAAATACTATTATTTGTGTTATAAATATTAATATTTTTATTATAGTTCAAAGCATTAATATCAAAAAAATTATTATTTGTTATTATAATTTAAAGCATTAATATAAAAAAAATTATTATTTGTAGTATAAAGATTATTATTTTTATTATCATTGAAAATATTAATATTAAAAATAGTATTATTTGTGGTATAAATATTATTATTTTTTGGTAAAAATATTTTTATTTGTATTATAATTGATAGTATTAATATTAAAATAGTATTATTTATGTTTTGAAGATTATGATTTTTATTATAATTCAAATTATTAATATCAACAATACTGTTATTTGGGGTATAAATATTATTATTTTTATTATAATTAAAATAATAATATTTAGAACACAAATTATAATATGTTTGATATTAATACTCTATAATAAAAATTATAATATTTATAATTAAAATAATAATATTTAGAAACCTATAAAACCTAAAACCTTAGGTCTTGACAAAAAACACAAGAAAATTAGATCCTAATGCAAGATGTATTAAACTTGGGCATAGAGCAAGCCAGCTCCAGCACCACGTGGGTGCACGGGTCTGACCTTGCGGACAGGCAGGGCAACCAAAACATCAAGTGTTTGCATCCCTGAGGGGCCCTTGTTGCCAAAGAAAAAATTTGCGTGGGAAAGCAGAGCCAAGACTTGTAAAAGAAAAGAACACGTTCGCCTGTCGCCAGCACAATTTAATTATTTATGGGTAGTTGAAGAAGGAATTTGTTTTGAATAAAATATTTTACAAGATAAAATATTTTTTATATTTTTTAAATATTTTTTAAATAATAATTTATACACAAAATTATCCATCAATCCTAACCATCAAAATCTTATCATCATCACTACATGCGATATTATATTCACTGTTGCTATCTTCATTACCACCCCACTACTGTAACTGTACCACCTTTAAAGAAAATTTAAGCCAGATAGAGGTGTTTAAAATTGTGTTTTATTAAATTATAATTTTTTTTATATTTTTCAATCATTATGTTGATATTAAAAATAATATTTAAAAATAATAAAAATATTATTTTAATATATTTTTAAATAAAAAATATGGTAAAAAATAATCATTACAACAATAAAAAGCATGTTAAATTTTGTCGGTGACTAGGAAAATGTTGTGGTGTTCAAATGATTGACTATTCTAAATTAATCTAAAGTTTAGTAAAGCATCCTCACCCTTTATGGTCAGCGTCAACACAGAACAAGTGCAGTGAAAATTTGCTTTGCGGTTGACTTGAGTGATGCATTCATGGTTGATGGTAAGAAGAGGTCTTAACCAGAGAGATCTACGTGCAATGCATAGCATGCTATCAACCGTTTTCTTTTCTTATGCATTCTTATTATGCTCCTTCCTTGTATGTTGCTTTGCTCGAGATACCATCACATATGCTGGTAATTTGACTAGTCATGATGGTGGAGAAACTCTTGTTTCAGCAGGAAAAAGGTTTGAACTGGGGTTCTTTACTCCTGAACAAAACGAAAGGTACGTAGGAATTTGGTATTACAGGTCGAATCCACGAATAGTTGTGTGGGTTGCCAATCGAAACAGCCCACTTCTTGATGATGGAGCAGTTTTGGCTGTCACAGATGATGGAAACCTCAAGATTTTGGATAAAAATGGAGATCCTTTTTGGTCTACAGAGCTTCAATCAACATCAAAACCAGGGTATCGGTTGGCTAAGCTCTTAGATTCTGGGAACTTGGTTTTTGGTGATAGCAATACCCTTTTGACAACTATTCTATGGCAAAGCTTTGAACATCCAACTGATACATTCCTTTCAGGTATGAAGATGAGTGGGAAACTAAAATTGATTTCATGGAAAAGTCAAGTTGATCCAAAAGAAGGTAACTTCACATTTAAGCTAGATGAAGAAACGGACCAGTTTGTTATCTCCGATGGCAGTATAAAGCGCTGGACTAGTGGGGAGTCAAGTGATTTCTTTAGACCAGAAAGAATGCCTGGTGTTATAGAATATTTTCTGTCGAACTTCACCAGAGGTTTTGAATCCATTTCTGTTTCTAATCCAACTTCAATACTCAACGGAATAAATCTATCACTCTCAAATTTTAGTGATACAAGGATTAGGTTGGACGTTAAAGGGGAGCTACAATACTTGAGCTATAACACAAATGGGTCTAAGCTATGGTGGGAGCCGAAAGACAAATGCAGTGTGTATAATGCCTGTGGGAACTTTGGCAGCTGCAATCTCTACAATAAATTGGCTTGCAGATGTTTGCCAGGATTTGAGCCTAAGTCACTGGAAAATTGGAAAAATGACAATTTCTCCAGTGGTTGTAGCAGAAGCTCTGACCCATGTGTGAAGAAGAACACCTTCTTGAGCTTCAAGACGATGAAATTTGGGCAACCAGAGAAAAAATTTGAGGTCGACGATGAAAAACAATGCAGAGAGGAGTGTAGCAGTAACTGCTTATGCCAAGCTTATTCCTTTGTTAAGGTGAATGTCAATATGCGAAGGGACAGACAACCTAGCACTTGCTTGATCTGGATGGATGATGATATTATTAAAGATCTCCAGGAGGAATATTCTTATGCTGGGCCCGATCTCTTTGTCCGAGTCGCCACTTCTGATATAGGTACTTTCTTCTTTCGACTTGTTCTTTCTCCTTTTGTTACTACAAGATGCTAGAACTACGTCAAGGATAATTTTCTCTGATAGAAGATTGCAAACAAGCAGTGGACTTAATTCATAACTGAACTAAATATCAGTAGTTTAGCATACCTTAAAAAAAGCTCCATGTTTTGCAGAATCAAAGGCTAGAAGTTGTGAGCCTTGTGGCATGAATGTGATTCCTTATCCTCTAAGTACTGGATCAGATTGTGGTGACCCCATGTACTTCAGATTCCACTGCGATAATTCCATAGGAAAACTCAGCTTTAAGACACCCAGCGGCACCTATAATGTCACTACCATCAATCAATATACAAGAACATTTCTTATCCGAGACAAAGATGTAGATGATTGTAATGACGGTACAAGAGGTCAAATTCAGAATTTCAACACGTCATCTCCATTTAAGTTGAACGCCTCTAAACGCTGGTGTGCCTCCAATGTTTCATCTCAAGGTCTGGTAGAAATAGATATTGGTTGGGAGCCACCTCCAGAGCCAGTCTGCTCTTCATCTTCGGACTGCGACGATTGGCCATATTCAACTTGCGATGGAACAGGAAATGGTACAGCGAGATGCCTCTGCAATTCAAATTTTTGGTGGGATGGCATAGCTCTAAGGTGCGTTCAAGGTGAGCACTCTATATATCTTGCTTCAAACTGCAAAAGTAGTGAAAACCATAAGTTTCATCCTGTTTAATTATTATAATGCCCATACCCCCTTTTCTTTCTAAAATTTTCCGATGGACAAGCAGGAGGATCTTCGAGAAAAGAGAAACCATTGTCTTTGATTGTAGGAGTAGCAATTGCTATTGTCATAGTTCTATCAAGTATCTTCCTTTACATCTGCATTTTGATGAGAAAGAAGGCCAAACGACGAGGTAACTGGACAAATTTTCCACGTGTAGGTATTAAAGTTTTTAAGGGATTCGTCATGTAATTAGCAGTTGTCTTGTTGAAATTTCAGAAAGCCAGCAAATTACTGAAAGAAATGCAGCTCTTTTGTATGGCACTGAGAAACGGGTCGAGAACTTGATGGATGCAGAAGAGTTCAAGGAAGAAGATAAGAAGGGCATAGATGTACCTTTCTTTGATTTAGACAGCATACTAGGGGCTACGGATTATTTTTCAGAAGCAAACAAGCTTGGAAGAGGGGGCTTCGGACCTGTTTACAAAGTAAAATTTACGTTAATCATTGGAATTTTTGTGTCTGACAAGTTTTCTGGCTGAATTTTACCTGCATGGCAACTTTGGTTTCAGGGAAAATTTCCAGGAGGTCAAGAAATTGCAATAAAACGACTCTCTAGTGTTTCAGGACAAGGCCTAGAGGAGTTTAAGAATGAGGTGATTTTGATTGCTAGATTGCAGCATCGCAATCTTGTCAGACTAGTAGGCTATTGCATTAAAGGGGATGAAAAGATTTTACTCTATGAATATATGCCCAACAAAAGCTTAGATTCCTTCATATTTGGTTAGTCTCTAAACAGATTCATCATTTTTGTTTTATAAATGTACGTTTGCAGCACTCATGCTTGCTAATTTTTGTTCTTATGGAAATGGAAAACCGCTGAAGATCGAGATCTCGGAATGTTACTGAATTGGGAGATGCGCTTTGATATCATTTTAGGAGTTGCTAGAGGTCTTCTTTATCTCCACCAAGATTCTAGACTCAGGATTATTCATCGTGATATGAAAACGAGCAACATTTTATTAGATGCGGAAATGAATCCCAAAATTTCTGACTTTGGATTGGCAAGGATGTTCGAAGGCAAACAAACCGAAGGGAGCACAAACAGAGTTGTTGGAACTTAGTAAGTGTCAGATCCTATCAACATTGATATTAATCAGACATACATTCATATGCAAACATTCTCTTTTTGCAGCTTGCAATCCTACAATTATGTCATTGTTAATGCTGAATTAGGTGTCTGAATCCAGCTGAGTTACTGATTCTTGTGAAAATTGTTGTAATGCAGTGGCTACATGTCGCCAGAATACGCATTAGATGGCTTATTCTCTGTCAAATCTGATGTCTTTAGTTTCGGCATCGTTGTGCTTGAGATTCTTAGTGGGAAAAGGAACACGGGATATTTTAATTCTGATGAAGCCCAAAGCCTTCTAGCTTATGTAAGTTCAACCGTGCTAATCTAATGTTTTATCATTTGATAAGCTACGCTGACTTAAACTTCAAAATTCCAGGCTTGGAGATTATGGAGAGAAGACAAGGCATTGGATTTAATGGACGAGACATTACGTGAGATTTGCAACACCAATGAGTTTCTGAGGTGTGTAAATGCTGCACTCTTATGCGTACAAGATGATCCATCCGACCGTCCGACCATGTCAAATGTTGTTGTGATGCTTAGCAGTGAAACTGCAAACTTGCCGGTTCCTAAGAAACCAGCCTTTTTTATACGAAGAGGCCTTTCTGGCACAGCTTCTTCTTCAAGTAAACAAGGAACAGGCCTTTTTGGCACAGCTTCATCTTCAAGTAAACAAGAAACAAGCTTCGATACAACGATTGCTTCGGATGAAGGGAGATAATTTCCTGTCAATTTGCATAAAATCTTGGAAAGTTTCTCAATCTTCAAATGGAAAGGTTTCTTTTTTTTTTTCCTGGTGAAATCTCATGTTTTTCCATGACAGAATTCATGTCTAATTAGTCCTTCTGTTCTGAATTTGTAATCAAAACTCTCTCAGAACTTCATTATTGTATCTGTGTAATTCCCCGTAAACAATTGTTCCTTCAAGTGTTCTACGTTGTTATTATCAATTCGTTTAAATTTAGAGTCGTAGCAAACTTTGAATACTTTCAACGGCTGTGTCAAGTTGCTTGATCAGATTCCACACAGTAGTATTTCTTCTTAGGCGACATTAACCCTTTTTGAGCATCATAATCCATACAGGGTGCCCATGGTTTTAACAGTTTATCACCAGATAATCCCCAATATCTCTTTAAGGAGACAAAGCATCATATAATTTTCAACCACCCCTCACAATCCACCAACCATTGCAACTGCAGATTACTTAAATCATGGTAAAAAAATCTCTTCTGACAAAACAAGCCAACTGCACGATCCTTCTTTCATCATGCTTTTTTCTTCTCTTTGTGATCTTCTTTAGACTGCATTTTGAAATTCCTACTCTCAGTTTTAAGGGTTGCATGGAGAATCCAAAACCATTTAAAAAAGGCACAGATACTGGCCTTGCCTACAATCCAATCTTCGGAAGGTCCAAGGATATCAGCCTAATATCAATTTGTCCAAGCCAACGTCTATCAATGGTCAAATCCTTCTTTCACCATGCTTTTTTCTTCTCTTTGTGATCTTCTTTAGACTCTGCATTTTGAAATTCCTACTTTCAGTTTTAAGGGTTCCATGGAGAATCCAAAACCATTTAAAAAAGGCACAGATACTGGCCTTGCCTACAATCCAATCTTCGGAAGGTCCAAGGATATCAGCCTAATATCAATTTGTCCAAGCCAACGATATCTTTTCCCATCATACCTACCGAACGTACCGGAAGAAGAGCTTGTAATACAGGTCTGTTAGTAAAGAGACAACATCGATTGTTATTGTTTCGCTTTCGTCAGTAGCGAATTTAGCGTATGGCCCGAAGGGCTTTAGCCGATGGTTGGACATTCACATTCAGTAAATTAAGGTAGTAGAGCTCCTCAGGACCTTAGACTTAGTTTTAAAAGTTGGGCATCGCTAGAAGTATCAAAATCTAGCAGCAAGCACAGAGCAGGTATAATTGCCATAATGGCCTTGTGTGGTGGCGATTGAGTTGCTCTCTAGGCTCTTGTCTGAGACATTGTTTTCTTACTCTTTAACTCGCATTTATGCTTTCATTCACACACCTTTTTCTTTTTCCTGCCCTTTCTCCAACTGCTAGAGCTTGCCTTGCTTCTGTTCCGAGGCAGGAAGTGACGCGCATAGGATCTGCGCGCTCGGTGGTGCGTGCTAGGTGAGCAAACTGAACGAGCCTTGGCTTGTTCGTAGCCAGAAGGTATGTTGGTTGCAGCATGGCTTCCATAACCTTCCTCCTTTCATCATGTGGTTCCACGTTATTAGGGCTTCTATTAGTACCCGTGTGCTTGTCCGGAGCGTGGATTTCTTCCCGGAACTTTTCTTTATGTAAATAGATGATTAGATTATCGTATCAAGTGTGAAACCCTCCCTCCCCTATGGGATATGGGATTCAAAAATGAGACTTATCTAACGCCAATAAGAAAGGATGGTGTAAGTGGGTAACAAACCACACCAAACAGGCCGTAGCAAGCAGAAAGGAACTAAACTAGGGGTGGCC